TGCAAAACATGCAGTCAAAATTCAATATCCTTTATAAGTTTTTGTTTCTCTTGTCAGTGATAACGATAATGTTCATTCGGAACGTAGAGTAACACGTGTGGTGCGTATACTGGGGAGGAGATATCCCCTGATGGATACATTCTACAAGTATCTCGACATCGGGGTTCGAATCAGTGGTTCGAATCAGTGGTTCCTGCGACGTAGTGCTGACTATAGGAGACTCTCGTGGAAACGAAATTAAATTTTCTATGGATACGTGGAAAGATCTACTACGAAAGAGACATAACATTCTGCAGATTTTTGCTGATACATCGAGAACCTCGAGCGAGCCAATAAGCATTAATGGATGTAACAGTTAAATTTCGACAACTAAGCGACATCAAACTCGCAAAACTCTCAAATTCTATCGTCTTTATGTTCATGAGTGAAAACCCGTACAAAAGTTGTTCGCTTTCGAATATTGTATCGATCACATGTACAGTTGGCTGTCTGAAAACTTGTACCTGGTAGAATCTAAGTACAACAAGTTTATAGAAATAATACAAAATGCTGAAATTAAGGATTATGCAAAGGCGATTGTTGAACATGAAAATTTTGAGCGTCATTCATTGATTGACTCTGAATCGTTAGCATTAGGTTTAGATGTAATGCTGGAATACAGTTATCAATAAAAATGAAATAGCTTGGATATATGTGTTTTTATTTCTTTCTAGCGCATTTCCTCCTATATCATATTCTCATCCGGTGTAATGTTTCCTTCGCACGTTCTCCAATATTCTCATTGCCAACGAATTATGTCACCTCTAGCGTTTTATTTGATATTTAGTCCTTGAGAAATTGTATTGTGCAAATAAATGATTTGCTGTCGGATTGTAATTTGCAAAAACTTTGCGTTCTTGGATCTTCTGCTCGAGACCATCATCGCCAACGAACGATGTCACCTCTTCCGTTTCTTTAATATCTAGTTCTCGAGCAATTGTATCGCGCAAATAAAAGATTTGCTGCCGGATTGTAATTTGCAAACTTTGCATTTTTAACCGACTTCGAAAAGGAGGAGGTTACTCAATTCGACATATATATATATATTTTTTTTTAATGTCTATTCACCGATTACGCCGAGATGGCTTGACCAATCGAAATGAATCCTCTTGCATCTTGTCGAATATTTCTTCCAGTTGGTCGCGTAAAAGAAACATTTTGTGAGTTGTCATTTTTTATCCGTTTTCTTTTAAAAAATAGAAAAATTTTGTCTTGCTTCTTACTCCGAGACGGATGGACCAATCACATTGAAACTTTTTGCATCTAGTTTGTTTTTTACCACTTTATATCACTGTTCATCGCAAAGAGCGCACTATTTCATGTATGTTTGGCCTGAAATCGACGAAATCCCTTACATTTTGTTGCCGTACAGGTTTTCGCGATGATCACATTTCCAAAAACTTATGAATTTTTTAATTGTTTATAACTATTGCTATTACAAAATTCCTTTTCTTTGCTGAAACTCGGCACGGAATTAACCGATCGAGATGGAATTTTCCGAATTTCATGATAGATGAATTCGTGATGTTCCTATTTGCAAAAATGTATAGACACTTTCATTGTTTGAAACCATTGTTGGTGCAAAATTGCTATGCTCTGGTGTAGCTCAATAAGGAATTTACCAAACGCAATCAATCCTTACACATGTATTCCTGATAATCCAATTTGCAACAATACAGGGTGTCCCAAAAATGTTGGATGTTCTTGAATGGGGTTTGTTTGGGGGGGGGGGGGGGGCGATTTGAAACAATTTTTCCTTAACGAGAATAGTGTTCGAGGCTTCGTTAAGGAGATTTTGACAGAAACCTCCGACCAATCAGAGCACGAGTATGCCGGTGGAGCGCCTGCGGTAGCGTTTGTTTCTGGAATATCACCTTAACGAAGTCTTGAACACCATTCTCGTTAAGAAAAAACTGTTTCAAATCGCCCCCCCCCCCCCGGAACCACCCTTTTCAAGGACCTTCAACGTTTTTGGGTCATCCTGTATATTCCTCATAACTATTGTTATTGCATGAAATCTATTGGTTATAGATTCCCACTAAAAAGAGTGAAATAAAATAATTTTTTGGAAAAAAATTGAACCGACTTCGAAAAATGTGCAGTGAAAAGCATGAAATAATTTCTAGTTAATTTATATGAATACGCACTAGTTCTAGATATAATTGCTTAACAGTATGGGAAAATGCAGTAAAAAGTGTGAAATAATTTCTATTTAAACTTCATTGTTATTCACCGTCGTTTGATGAATTTGGTTAAATTATTCAATACATTATATTAAATGCAATGCACCTTTTTCGCAGGTGGCGCATAATGTAAAATTACTGTCTTAGCGAATTATCGAGGATTCCAAAAAGATCGATATACGTCCACACGATTCGCCTGTCTCTCTCTCTTCTGTCTCTCTGACAATGTTGGCCACCACGGAGAGCGATGTTCTCCGAAGATGGGAGTACATAGAGCGTCACCGCTGACATTCGTCACGTAATCGTCATCGATGTTTGCGAGAAATATGTTACAAAGCTTCGTGCTTCGTCTGTTTCGAACTGCGAGACTTCTTGACTTTCTTGTGATTCACCAGATTCACATAAAAATCTTTGTTTCCTTTAGACATCGGTATTTGCTTCGTCTGCGAAGTGGGAAATTTCTTACGTCAATTCTGTCAACTCCACAAAATTCTGTTCGAGCAAAGATACCGAACAACTACCTACAGACACAAGTACCAAATTTAGTTTAACTATCCGTCGAAGGAACAAAAAATATGAACTGTAATTATTGCTATTATACGTATTCATATTCATACAGTATTTCCATGGGGAGAGTTTATACATTAGCAGTAACCAATTTTGCCGCCCCTCCCCTCCAAAAAAGCCCCAAATCTACTCAAACTATATTTCCGTGTACATACTATATACATTAACTATTAATTCACATAGACAATAAACATGTATACATTGACAGCATTCAATATTGCCGCCTCTACCAAAAGCTAACCCAAACCGGAATTAAAAATTTTTTACCCTCCCTCACGGCGTTCGCGCTTACCTCCCGCGAAGACGACGAGCATGGTTTCCCCCACCCTTACAGCGTCCACGTTTATTTCGTTACATGTACCATTTGCGTTTTTCTGTCTTACCGATTTCTGATAACGATAATAATACTTACCAAACGTCGAACAATTGATATTCTTCTTCTTTTTTACCGATCTCTGATAATTATCTCATCTTTTCTAATCTTACGTGTTGCACGGGTAAAAGGGCATGAGTGCGAGGAAGAAAATGCTTGGATGCGAGAGAGAGAGGGAACCCGCGGGGCCCGAAAAAACATCCCCACTCCTGCGCGCGAAGACGGTTTCCCCCACCCTTACGCGTTTATTTCGTTACATGTAAAATTTGCGTTTTTCTTTCTTTCCGATCACTGATAATTACCGACCGGTGGTGTCCCCCACTACTTTAACGACCGTAAATAATAATTACATCCTACCTTATCGACCGTAGGTAATAATGGGAGGCCATTGATTGCGCACAGTAGGATTGCGTACGGTCGCATTGGACTAAGATGTTTTGTCGAAAATTTATTAAAGTGGTTCTACATTATTAGATTTGCAAATTATATTCAAGTGGTGTTCGATATTTCGTAAATTCATGAAATAAGTATATGACATTTACGCAAGGACCTGTAACGATAAGTATGTAAGACTGTTCGATGAAATTTCTCGCAGGAGTTTGTTGTTGATTCTGTGTGCTTAACCTTATTTGAGTTGACAGGAAGTAGAAATTCAGGTATGTAAGAATTTTTTGTCTATAAAACAATAGATTTAATATGGATGAACCTGATACTTTGTGGTGTTTTTAACTTATATTTTACACGTTGTTTAATTAATGTCGAGCAGTGATTTATAATACGTGAAGGTTATGGACAGACAACTTGGTTGATATGTGCATTGGTGTGAGTTGGTGGTGAGTTGAGAAATATTAGGTTTTCTAAGTTTATTATAATATAGATAAACTGTTCACTTACATACGTACTTCATAATTCCAGACATTATGTTTTCTTTTACTATTTAGTTGCTAAATCCAAAGTGAAACATACAATATTGGTAACAAATGAATTTTTCTAGTAATATATTTATTAAACAAATTCTTAAATGCTAACTTATATTATACAATATGTGGTATTATAAATATTATTATATGTAATATGAATACATAAAAGTATTCAACAGGTAAGATTTTAGGTAAATCTAAAGAAAAATTGCTTTTATATGAACCATATATTACCATTTGTAACAAACAATTTGTATATATAATAACCATTAATTTTTATTAACTAAAGCTACCACTTATATTATATCACTGTTAAATATCCCGCTTCAACCGAACAGCTGGATATATCGTAGTTTCATAGTATGCAACTCTTGAACCTGAAATGAAAGTAGAATAATTAAAAAGAGTTTAGATTAAAAAAAATTGTATTCATTGAATTGTATTGTAGATGAAAGTAAGCTACATGTATATGTATGTCAAGGGGCAGATTTCAGGACACCAAATTTTCCTTTGATATAATTATTTAGATTTGTAATTTCTTGACTTAACTAATAGATATAAAAGCATTCGTGTACAGAAAATGAAATAAATCTGTTTACAAAGTAAAAATCTTATTTGACTGGGGGTAGTAAAGTTTTCACAATAATCTGTTCGATATACCACAATTGTTTCTTCATTGAGCACAAATATTTTGTCTATTGTACGCTTTATTCTAGTTGTTTTGTTCTAATTGTCTTTATTTTATTGCTTGCTTTGCATTGATATTTTGTAGAACCTTCAACTGCTTCTGTAAACCATTGATTAGTCACTGTTCTGATATATTATGATTTATAAAGTATGATGGCATTACATTCTTTTTAAGGTCTATAAATTGCAAGACAAACGTATGTAATTCAATGATCTTGTATGGATAATTTGTGACTCCATAAATTTATTGTTGTAATTTTCCTATCGATGTCTAGACAAACGCTGAAAATAAAGAAAACAGTATCATAATGTTATATATTGAAACGTTGTATTTTATATACAACTTTAATTTGAAATAAAGTATTTATTATTTCTTTTACCTTAAACATATTTCCAGATTAATCTTGCGTGAACGTAAGTGCATCTCTTTATTCAATATTTTTGCAATCTGTCCAAGTATTTCATTGAATACTATATGTTTCCCCTATGTTCTGTAATACTAGTTGCGTTGCAACCATGGAATTACCATTAAAACATATATAATTACGTAGAAGAATATAACTACTGCATAATTACAACTACAAGAGTAAGTATTCTTCAAGTAGATACATTATTAAATATCGTGAGACTTTTCAATATATAGAATAAAGGGGGAACTACCACTTGTATTGAAGAAACCTAACACCATTTGATGCATGTAATAACTACAGAATCACATTAAATGCTAGCTATTAATATAGATTAAAGTGTAAAACTGCTTTTTCTTGTAATTCACCATTTAACTCTGGCTGATCGTCAACAACATATCACAGGACTTAAGTAATGGGAACTTTAAATATTAAATCCCACTAAAAAAAGTTCCGTGTCATGTTCATTGATCTGGTTTACTATCTTCTTAATCTTCCTTGATGAATCAAAAATATTCTCCTCGGTTATTATCCAATTTCCACCTTATGTACACAGATACTTGCATCCAAATTAATATTTACAAATGAAATCACAAGAGCATACAATCATAATTTTCATACAAACTTTATATACAGATCACTTAATTCTAAATTAAAGGGAGCGCTATGTATGTATCATATCACGTTGCACTCTTAAAATTTATTATGCTTCTAATGCATACGTACACATATTACAAGGCAACATTAGTGTTTGTGCATTACTTCTAGCAATATCTGGTCGAATTTTCTTCCACTGTCTTAATAACTGGCATCCAGCTATTCCTTACTCTAATCTATATATGTCAAACGATATACATATCCAAGTGTTTCTTATTTGGACAAAATGAATATTTATTACCTTAAATTTGTATTATGAAATGCACACTTAAACACTGTTTTTGTAAATTTTTTTCCACAACGACATGAAAAATTTGTCATCACTTATTCTTCTATGTAAAAACACGTTATATTCCCACTCACAACAATTGCATAAAAAACCACATACAAATTAAATTCAGATCCAAATTTAATAAATTCTAAGTCATATTTAATCACACATTTTCCGATACAATATCAGCACACGTAGCCTTCGAAAAGCAATGATTATTAAATTTACGGCGTCAAAATGTTACGAATTCAAAGAGTACAAGTTCAACCGACACAGCGTCCAAAGTTAACATTTATCTAAATTTATATTATGAAATGCACACTCAGACACCATTTTTATATATTTTTTTTCTGCAACAGCGCCGGCTCCCATCCAAAAACTGGAAAGAATTGGCAATTTCCAGTAAAATAATAAGTCGATCGTACAAATGCATGG